AAATAAATGAACAGTGGCATGCATTGCAGAGGGATTTAGAGAATTATTTTAAGATGGACATGTGAAAAAATAAAGAAAAAAGGGGAGAGGAAGAACATTTTGCTTGTAAAGAATTTGGGCTGCTACTCTTTTGTTCAGTTGTCAGCACAAAACACAGCAGGTACAGTAGTGCATTTAAAGTGGAAATCTGCAAAGGAAAAACAGAACTTCACTGTTCATAGATTTATCAAAACCAATATGTCATTGTGTTAAAAAAAATCATGACAATGTATGCTTTTGTTACTTTAACTTACTTTAATAAGTTAATCAAAAATATTTTTGTAGCTACACAGTTTAACAAAATATTTTGGTAACACTTTATAATAACTACACACTATAAATCATTTATTAAGCATTAGCAAATAGTGAATTCATTATCAGTTAAGCATTAACTCTACATTAATAAGCGCAAGTAAGCAGTTTATAACTGCAGCTACAAATGCTCTATTCTTGACTTATAAGCACCTGTATAATGTGTTAAATAATTGTATTTTCGTACTTAGTTAATGACTTATTTTTCATTACTAAATTAAGTATCGCATTATTTACAAACCATTTGTAGTTGAGGGTTTTAGGATGATTCAGAATGTGTTAGTAAATGATTAATAAACTATTGAAATCAACATTTATATATCTTATTAATCATTCATTATTAGTTAACTAATATGTTAATAAATGCTTTATTAACTCAACTTCATACAGTTTTGTGACCTAATCTAAAGTGAGGACTATTCATGCTCTATAAATCCCTTATAAATGACAATTAAAGACTCAGAATCAAATGAACAAAACATCTTTGCAATGTTTTCTAAAAAGTACAATTTTGATAAAGGTTAAACATTGCTGAATAACTGGAGTGTCAAAATACAACATCCAACTGAATAAAACAACAACAACAACATAGTAATTTAACAATATAATAAGATGCAATGTTTAAACTCTACAGTGATTTTATTTTAGATTAGGTTGCAAAGATTTATTTTTTATTTGAAATGAATGAATTGGACATTATGAAGGACGAATAAACGAATAGAAATGAATAATCTCATTCTTTTTGTTTATCATTTAACTGAGCCTTTATTTGTCATTTATAAGGGATTTATAAAGCATAAATAGTCCTCACTTTAGATTAGCTCACAAAACTAGATGAAGTTGAGTTAATTAAGCATTTATTAACATACTTAGTAACCATTAATATATGCCTGAATAATAAGACATATAAACGTTGATTTTAATAGTTTGTTAATCATTTACTAACTCATTCTGAATGATCCTAAAAACCTCAACTACTCTTAAATACAAATGGTTTGTACATAATGAAATACTTCATTTAGTAATGAATAATAAATCATTAACAAAGTATGAAAATACGATTATTAAACACATTTTAAATATGTTTGTAAGTCAAGAATAGAGCATTTGTAGCTGCAGTTATAAACTGCTTACTAACGCTTATTAATGTAGAGTTAATGCTTAACAGATGATGAATTCACTAGATGCTAATGCTTAATAAATGATTTATAGTGTGTAGTTATTGTAAAGTGTTACCAGTTATATTTATGGTTATGGTCATATAAAAGGATATTTATGTTAGATTTGGGAAAAAAACTGATTGGCTAGCAAATGATTACTGATAGGGACCAGCTGCGATCAATCATATCACGTGCTCTTCTCCCCTTACTTCACTTATTGCACTTTTGAAAGGACAGGATTTTAAAAACAATAACACTATCATCTCTGTGTAAACTACTCACACTCTTGATTTGTGTTGTTGTTTTTACAACGCTGTTTTTTTTTTTGCCAACTATTATCCTGGCATACATCACACACCGGCATCTGTAAACAAAGCTTTTCAATAAAACACAAAGAAAACAACAATATTTCTGTTTTATTAGCATATTGTTCGTCACCTTAGAATTATAAGGTTCTATCTGAAATGTTTGCCAAAACCGAGTTATTTTTCTAAAATTTATTTAACTTATTTAGATTATAAGATGCGTATTTATAAGTTGTTTACATTTTAAGAATTTAAAAAAAAAATAATAATAAATGTTACACACATGCTGTTTCCTATGGAATGCAAAAATCTTGAAGCTCAATAAATTAAATCATTCAGAATGCAGATAGAACCTAATAATTCCAAGGTGACGTGTTGTATAAACCTACAGGAGGTTTTCATTTGTTCCCATAGTTACCAATGGTTTTGCTCACCTGTTCCCTCTGTAGTTTATCTCTTTTGCATTCATTCCCCTTGTTTTGCGATGTGAGAGTGTGCTCTTTCTGCAATTGTGTTAGGACTTATTATTCCTTTGGCTATGGGTAAAAGAAAAAAAAAGGCAAAAAAAAAGGCAGTGATAGTTACATTATTATTTGTTAAAACCAGTTTGTTGTCAAGTCAAGCCAAGTTAAGCTTTATTATCATTTTGCTACATGTGTGGAAATCCAGTGATGACATAGCATTCAAATTAAAATATTATTATGAGCCAATATGCAGCATAACAAACTTTATGGCTAAAAATCAATGGAAGTGATAGACGGAAGTCGAACTTAACGTACAATAGCTGCGCCTGCTCTTACATAAAAAAAAGGTGGATACTTCTTTTTTTAAAGCCATTTTTCATTATCTACAGCAATAGTTAAGCTGTTTCTGTTTTCCAATATTCATGAAAACATTTGTGTGAGTGTTTTCTGAGTCACGATCATTATGGACACTGATACAGACATACTGTAGTCATTAATTAGGAGGTCTGGAGGAAACTCCGTGGCTCTGGTCTGTGTTTATGAGGACAGTTGTAATGGTCAGTGTAGGATGAATACACTGGACTGAAAATGTGGCCAATACACAATCATACTGTACACAAACTAATAGCCAGCAACTTCTTCAGCCCACACAATGTACTCAAACACATTCACACGCACACAAACACACACTGTGCCAAAACCTGTGATTTTGGAAGTAAATTTATACATGTTTGCTGTGGTTTGAGTCTTTCAGTCTCCCACACAAACACCCACTCTCAAACAGACAAAACATGCTCATTCTTGAGGAGTTTTACACAGCATTACTGTCAACTTTGACCATTCTGACATTTTGAGCATTTATAATAGTATCTTTTCTGGACAGAAGATGTGTTTGTGGGTGCATTATTATATCTTAATGTTACAAAACTGTTCAGTGCAAAGCTGTTTTATAACAGGCTGCTAAAAAAACCACTCAGTCAGTATTTTCTTTCATAGTCATTATTCACGGTCAACATTTTCCATATTTTAAATAAAAAAGAAAGAAAGAAGAAATCACTATTAAAATCTATTTAAATAGTGATTATTATCATTTTTGTTCATTTTATTTTTAAGGATTCATTCATTCATTCATTCATTTATTCATTCATTCATTTTCTTTTCGGCTTAGTCCCTTTATTAATTAAACTTATCCAGCATATGTTTTTTTTTGCAGCGGATGCATCTGCAACCCATCATTGGGAAACATCCATACACATTCATTCACACACATACACTACGAACAATTTATCCTACCCAATTTACCTATACCACATGTTTTTGGAGTTGTGGGGGAAACCGGAGCACCCGGAGGAAAACTACATGAACATGGGGAGAACATGCAAACTCACAGAATTGCCAGCTGATCCAGCTGATACTTAAATCAGTGACCTTTTTGCTGTGAGGCGAATGTGCTACCCACTGCACCACCATGTAGCCCCATACATTCATTTAATTTATTGTTTAGTTATTTATTTTAAATGTAAAATATAGCTTTTAAAATAGTAAATATTTCTAAAATGCAAATATGAGCAATACCTCACTTATAGCAGTGCAATATGGCTGTATGTCGGCACTGGTGGGAGGTGTTCATTGGCATGATGCCATTGCCACTAGTGTCCCACCAGTGACGATATACAGCCATATCTCACTGCTACTCATGTGTCATTGCGCTTATACAACAGTTTGACAGCATAATTGTGTATATAAAAAATCAAACATGAAGAGTCTCAAAAACCCTTTTGTAAGTGGAACTACTTTCTTCCGCCATTCATTCACATCTACAGCTGATGACCGAACACTAGAAACTTACTAATTCACCAACAGAGCTAGTATTTCATTGATCCTCTGGCGTAACATCTAAGATGATGACATCAACAGAGTTTCCCCAGTATTTCTCTGTTGTAATCGGAATATCACAATAAATAATCCCAAAAAGCCAAAGCAAACACTACCAGAGTATGGTATAATTACAGCACTACAACATACATATTCCTGTTGTACAATATATATATATATACATACGTATATATATATATATATATATATATATATATATATATATATAATGCATTATTATTCTTATTTTTTGGGAATGCATAAAAAAATGCAAACATTTTACAATAAAACATTTTTAATATATTTATTAGCATTTTTTTACATTTAGAATTCATCTTTATTTTTAAGGGCCCAACATCAGTTCTGTTATTTATACCTTTTTCAGTTTATTTATTTTAATTTTGTTATAAGTGTTTTAGCATTTATAAATTTGATTTTTAATACCTTCATTAAGGTGGAAATATCAATTAACCCCTTCAGACCTGAATTATGTTCCAAATTTCAGAAAAATGGGATGTCATGTTATGTCCATTGTAATGGACGCAGGGTCTAAAGGGGTTAATTCTCCCACTTATTAATGCATTTTCTTTTTATATTAAATAGCATATACAATATTACTTTTTAGTAAATTTGTTGTACTTTTTAAATACTTTAAAAAACGTTTATATTCCTTAAAAGAAAAACTAATTGCAGAATTTAAATTTTTCATTTACTTTTGTTCATGAATATTACATTGTCAGTGTTTTTAAGTTGCACACAAACATCAGCATGCCCTCAAGTCCTAAAAAAATTATCTTCAGTATCTGAACTAATCAGCTTGTGTGTTCTTCTCTGTCTCCTATTAGATTATGACCTCTCCAAACTGAGGGACTTCATGGACCAGCAGGTGGACTCCTACATCGATAAAGGCATCCTTGAGAAGGACGAAGGTGACGTTATCAAGAGAATCTACGGAAGCCTGTAGGAACAGCGCAAGCGCTAAGATCTACTAAATACTCGGACCGGCATATTAACACAGATCCTAATGCTAGAACTCCTAATAAATCATATTTAGTCTGCGAATCAGACAGTATTTCTAATTCCCTCCCGATGGCAATATCTTCTCTCAGTCAGCAATAGAACACAATCTAGTTCTAGACGAGCCACAATCACATCTGAGTTGTAAGTGTTCTTACGCATTAGGACAGAACATGTGCATCTGCTACCTAGAAGATTGAAATTCAGTGGGTTTTTTGCTATGACTTGCAGATCAGTGAAAATAGAAGCTTTTGCAACTCTTTCGCAATAGACTTTTACAGCGCCATATGCATATATCTGTACGTAAACATTCACTCATGTATGGTGTATAGCATTCGCTAATCTTTTGATCTTTTTTGATGAAGGAAATTAACGTATTATTATTGTTTCTCCGTCGACCAAAAAACATCCAAAAACCAATCAGCTTTGACTGTCATTAAATTGCTTTCCTCTTCTGTTGTGGTTTTGTCTCCCAGTCTACAGGGGGCGATCTTTACATCTCCCTTCTCTATCTTTAATTACGTTTCTCGGTTTGGGTTTTCCGTTTTTCGACTGTGTATATTCCACATGCTAGAGATTCACACACATCGAGTATTTTTAAATGTAAATATTGTGATTTTTTTCCAGAAATCTATTAAACATTGCCTTTCTTTAATTACGTAACTTGTGTTGTTGGTCTTTTTTTGTTTGTTTGTTTGTTTATTTTTCGTAATGGCCGGAGTTGGGTGTAAGGTGTTCCGCAGCAATATGTTACTGTATTCAAATTTTTACAACGTAGTGTAACGAATTACACTTAGAATTTGTGTAATCTGATTATCGTTACTAAAGTGAGTGTAATTGCATTACTTACGTTACAAATGTAGTTTTTGGTATAAAAAAAAAAATCTTTTTTTAAATCACGTTTTCTGCTGCAACGCAAGTTAATGAGCTTGCTCCTTTAAATTGCTGGATAATGCGAGCCGATATGGTTATTGTTGATAGTGGTTGTTTCTTCAAGTAGAAATACAGACATTACTTTGATTTTACTGAGCGTACAAACTAAAAATATTGCTGTGAATTACAGTCTAAAGAACTTTTCACTACTTATAACTTTACCAGCAACTTGGTCAAGCACTTGAATAGAAAGCATTACTTGTCACCAAAGAGGAAACCGGCGCCCAAAAACACGGCGGCCCAACTCAGCCTTAACAGGCTAAATATAATTTTTGTGCAGGATCGGGACTAAAGGTTTCTTCTGAATGTGAAGAGAAACAGCTGCTTATAGGGCCGTTCGCATAATGTGTCTTTTGCGCGTACCCATATTGGGAGAGCATATTGCGCACACTCAAATTTTCCAGGCACCCCTAGTTAAAAACTGCAAGTCACGTGACATATTTTGGTAGATTAATTACCTTAAACGGTCAGTAATATGCTTTATTATTATTATTTACAAAAGAAAAAATAAATAGTATACATTAGCAGCAAATAAATTAGCAAACAGTTTAGCTTATTAAAATTAATAGCTATTATAAAGAAACAAAATCAAGTTGTCAAATCTCAATCTTCTCTTCACTGTATAACTTACACATTCTGATTAAAGAGCAACGAATGAATCTCTTATATGGATTTTTTTTTTGTTTGATTACATTAAATAACAGGTGTCACTTTAAAAATGCACACATCTAACATTATAATGGAAGCATTCAATTGTTTTCCAAACTGTTCATGCTAATTTAGGAACCATCCAAAACAAAAAAAAAAAAAAAAAAAACACCAAGATCGACACCTTTAGATGTTATTAATATTAAATGCATAGATGTCTGTTCAAACACGCACCCAAGACCCAAACTTTCGCTCAGCTTCAAATCACGTGTACAGAATCCATTTGGGAAACTATTTATCATCTATTTATCACAATGGACGGCGTCAGTCACGCACCACTACATGACTGTTTTGAGGATTGCATAGGAAAAGCGACGGCACCTGTTAGGAAAAGGAAGGGAATCACACCTGTTTTTATATTTATTTCAACGTGTTTTCGTGCCTAAATAAAACAAAAGCAGAGAGCAGACTCGCATTTAAGAGCAAAGGTCGGCCCCTGGTGGTTTGGCAGTATGGATTGCGTATAGGAAGATCAGCTCTTTAATGTTTAATGCCAACCTTCAGAGAAAGACTAAAAAAAGGGATAAATACGGGAAAATACCTTTACAGGATGATAGCAGGATAGAACTGAAAATACAAGAGAATCCTGGGAAAAAACAGGAGGGTTGAAAGGTATCGTGTAATATTGGTGTCATCATCGCAGCTTCTGCAGTCCCATTTCAGATGCTGCACCGGCTAAATCAATCGTCTGATCTCGGAGTGTTGTCGGGGTACTTTGATGCTACATGTGATAGTCACATGGCATCGGCGCAACGTGAAGTCGGACAAAATTTCTAATCAGCAAGCACCAATAAAAGACGGTCAAATGCACCTTAAACGAAATTCTGAGTTAATGTAGAAAGCTGATTATCAGCATTATGGTAGCAACAAATCCTAATTGCACAAGTTTAGTTGTCAAAACTAATCCTGAGTTTGTTGAACCACTATCACGGAACAGGCCATAATAGTGTGTGCAAGTCCTCTGCCAGCAGTCTCAATACAACGAAACAATAACCAATCCAGCTACAATTAAATTTAGACCGCATTTACACTGCACTGTTCAAGTGACCCAATTTCGATTTTTTTCTCCCATGTGGCACAGATCAGATATGGCCCATGTATGTTTAAACAGGAACAAACCACATGGATTCCGATTTACTCAAATCAGATTCAGGCCTTGTTCATATGTGGAAATTTATCCGATATGAATCGGATCTGTGTTCTCATCTGTGTCTGCAGTATAAGCAAGTAGATCAGATTTTCACCTGTCAATGTGAGTCGCGCGTCATTAAAAACCATAGCGAATGATGTCAAGTCTGAGGGTTTCATTTCAGAACAGACTTCAGCAGAGTCCCAAACCTTAAATCTCAAACACGAGGACTAAAACATATTTCATATTGTCATATAGCACAGGTAATCAAGCACGTTAACGAGAGCGAGAGAGCGCAATGTCCGCCACGAAACCAATATAAAACCAGTGCATACATCATGTGCATAAATCACGCCATGACATACGAGCGATCCGCTGATGAATCCTGGCCTTAAAGCGCTCAAGTGTCCCTGTGTCTGTGGTTACACTCCGTAAACAGCAATGAGTTTGTTGAACTGATGATCTTTTGTTTAGTTAAAAAGATTTAACTAGTCTTCTAGTTTGCATATTTGCATTGTTTATATTGCCGTGGTCAGCATTCATCATGCTGTGTGTGTGTGTGTGTGTCAGTGAGCTGCACCAACCCAAATATGGTCAATTATGGATCGTCTGGGCATTCTAGAGACATTTTGTGGCATCTGTATCTGTCTGCGGACTGCAAAACAGGGGCTTAACATAAGGGGGGGTAATTTGTAGTAAGTTAGAGGCGTAACTTGCAGTTATCGAGATCTTATTGAACCATGCAAGATATCACAAGATGTTGTTAGCAAGATGGCGGAAATACCTACCAGAGTATTATTTTTCACCACGTTTCATGAGTTTTATCCAAATTTATCCACAAGCAATTCATTTGATATATTATTATATTTATTTATATTGTCATATAGCACAGGTAATTAAGAATGTTAACGAGAGCGAGCACAATGTCTGCCACGTAACCAATATAAACTAATATAAAACTAGTGGATACATCACGTGCATATATCACACCATGGACATTCCATAAGATGCCTAAAGGTTTAAAAAAGTCTTTATATCAAAACAAGATGGACAAATGAGAACCTTTCTGTCATAAACTATAGTAAAACAGCTTGTTCAAAGCTGCCAACAGATTACATACAGGAAAAGAGAAAAGAACGCTCTTTTATTACAAGCTGTTAGTCAGTGCCCGCTCTTTTTTGTTTTTTTTTTTCTGCTCATTACGCCTTTGCCATGTGCTGTGTAAATGCAGACAATCGGATACGAGTCCCTTATAAAAGATGACGTAAGCAGGTCATCAAAAAAAAAAAAAAAAAAAATGGATAGTCACAAGATCGAAATTGGCCATCAAGATCTGCAGTGTAAATGCAGCCTTAGAAGCCAACTCTATTTTTTTGTTAAAAACTGAGAACTTATTTCTCATGGCACTGTTATCTAACTATCTCCACTTGCCTGTGGCTGTTTTTATAGTCTTTATGTGAACATCCATCCTATAATAACCCAATACTTCATGCCAGATCTATGATTCATGAAACAGGAGCTCAGTTTACAGAAGCATTTATTCTGCACCACTCAAATCAAACAGTACAGTAAAACTTTTTTGTTTTTAATTTATTTAACCCCCAACACACTAAAAACACAACATTCACACTAAAACAGCATTATTTATCCCTTTCAAACCCACACGTAAAGCTTTTATAGGCAAACAAAACGTATATAAATTAAAATCAGCAGGCAGCCACACAGAGTCCGGGTTGTTTTTATCTGCAACACAGTATATAGAGGATAAACTGCAGATACAGTGTTTCTTATAAGCAGAGGTTATCATAGGTTTGAGATCTACATGTGGTCGGCCATTGCTCTTCCTATAGTAAATGAACTATCCTTACTATTATGCGAGACAGAAGGATGATAAAAATCAGAGATAAAATCAGTGTAATACTGCTGAAGAAGGCAATGATGGACCCTCAGCACAAGAGTATGGCATGTGGTCCTGTGTTGCAGTTTGGGTCAAGTTAAAAACAAAGCAGGCAAAAGAGGGATGGAAAGTTGATGATGGGTCATTGTCAGCGCTGCAGGAAAACAGATGAAGAGTCCATCAGATCTCCTGATATGAGTTTGTGTCATCTTCCTCTCTGAAATAAAACATACAAACAATTTATTAGGGTTATCATGATACTTAAATTCGATACCAATCAATACTGGAATTTAAAAAATGTTTATCTCCAGCTAATATTTGACAGTGCTGGTTTACCATTGTGTTCATGTGCTCAACAGAAATGACTGTGATTGGCTGTGAAGGTCATCAGTTCACCGAACTCACTGCTGTTTACGGAGTGTAAACACAGATACAGAGACACTGGAGGGTTTCAAATTCACGCCGATCAGCTGGTTTGTCTATAAGCTGACATACGAGTGATGAAGCGTGGCCTTAAAACGCTCCGGTGTCCCTGTATCTGTGGTTGCACTCCGTAAACAGCGGTGAGTTTGGTGAACTGATGACCTTTATTTAGTTAAAAAGATTTAACTAGTCATCTAGTTTGCATATTTGCATTGTTAATATTCCTTTGGTCAGCAGTCATCATGCTGTGTGTGTATGTGTCAGTGAGCTGCACCAATCCAAATATGGTCAATTATGGATCGTCTGGGCATTCTAGAGACATCTTATGGCACGTGTATCTGTCTGCGGACTGCAAGACAGGGGCGTAACATAAAGGGGGGTAACTTGTAGTAAGTTAGAGGCGTAACTTGCAGTTATCGAGATCTCATTGAACCATGCGAGATGTCACAACAAGATGTTGTTGGCAAGACGGCGGAAATACCTACCAGAATTTTATTTTCACCAAATGTTTTCATGAGTTTTCTCCAAATTTATCCACAACCAATTCATTTGATATATTATTTTATTTATTCATAACGCAACTTCACATTGCAACTCCACTCGCTGTCTTCTTAATTTGTCTTGTCATGACAGAAAAGCAGGTCGCACACCAGAAGCGATGAGTTTTAGATGCATTTTAGAATTCTAAACATAGGTTTCTATTAGGGTCACGACTCAGGACGCTGTTCATATTTCTGCAGCCCCACAAAGCGCCATCTGATTAGTTTCATTTTAAATAACATGCGAATGTGGGCGTCTGGTGTGTGATACTTTAATCTGTCATATGCGCGCCGTGTCTGGTGTGTGACCTCCTTTACCCCACTTGGCGTCAACTCCTGTGGTTGCAAATAACAGTACAACGGTGAGCGCATCAATTACTGTATGAAAGCCTCCGCAACTCACGGCAATAATAACAGTGATGGTTGGGTTTAGGTTTGGGGAAAAAGTAGACGTTAATAACTGACGGTTGGGTTTGGGGTTGTGGCAGGTATAAACGTTAATTGTGATGGTTGTATTTAGGGATTAGCATGTGAACACAATGGCATATCAGCGGTGTTTAGGAACATGCTGAACAGCGATCAATTGTTAGCTGGAAATAAACGTTTTAAAAATTTCAGTATCAATTGGTACCGAATTGCAGTATCGTTACAACACTACATATTGTACGGTTGTCACGATACTGCAACTCGATCCCAATTGCTATTTTTTAAATACTGCAACATAAGGGTGTCACAATCCTCCAAATTCTCGATTCGATTACATTTTCGATTCTGATGGCACGATTCTATTCGATTTTCGATTATGAATAATTAATTAATTAATGACCAATTAATTATTTGTAGCCTACCATTTAAACTACCTGACCTGCATGGTCTTTGTTTAACCCATAAACAAATCATACAGTAAATGAATAAAGGCAAGTTACACACATAATTACCACCTGTCAATCACTTTTTTTTGCGGGACTCGTGAATAGGCAGTGATCTGTGTCGTTATAATGGCGTCGGTAAAAAAGAGGCACAACCAACAGGAACCAGCCAACAGTATCTGAGGTGTTCGCTAAAATGACTAAGTACAAGTGAGTGAAAGATTGAAGCAGTCCTCTGACTGCCTGGACCTGCTGTCTGGAGCGCATGTCTGTGTGGTCACGTGATGTGCAATTTCAGAGGTAGAGAGGAAGGAGGGCTGCTCAGAAATGCTACACGCCACTGTGGATGTCAAATCGTTGTCAGTCTAAAATGCCATTTAAAAACAAAGACAGTGTAAACAGTGCCTGAGTGTGTACTTTTCGCGAGCAGATTTGTAACGGGGGCGGGCGGAGGGTCGCGATGCCGGTGTTGTCTATCGGACGAACCGTACGTAATACGTACATAGCAGAGCTTGCAAAACTGTGTTTTTTTGTCGACAACACAAACGTTGTCAACATAATTTAAAAATCGATATCGTGACACCCCTACTGCAACAATAAAAAAGGTAACACTTTTTAATAACTACACACTATAAATAATTTACTAGGCATTAGCATCTGGTGAATACATTATATGTTAAGCATTAACTCTACATTAATAAACAGTTTATGCTGTATTCTTGACTTACTAACACATGTATAATGTGCTTAATAATTGTGCTTTTATATTGTTTATGATTCATTTTTCATTAATTATCACATTATTTACAAACCAGTTAATTAAGAATAGTTAGTGGTTTTTAAAGATCATTCGTAACGAGTAAGTAAACAATTAATAAACTATTCAAGTTACCATTCATATATCTTATTATTCAGGGGTATACTGATACTGTAGTTAATTTGTACATTAATAAATGCTTTATTAACTCGACTTCATGCAGTTTTATGACCTAATCTAAAGTGAGGGCTATTTATGCTTCGTTAACCCCTTATGAATGACAATTAAAGGCTTGGTTCTCTTCTAAACAGGAAAAAAAAAAAGAGAAAATAAACGGCTTTATTCATTTGAAGATGCACAAATGAAACTTCAAGTGAAAAATAAATCTTTGCAACCTTATGTAAAATACAATTACTGTACAGTTTAGACATCGCTAAATAACATTGAAATGTTGCATCATATTAAATAGTGAAATAATTATATTGTTGTTGTTTTACCCAATTTGTACAGTAACTTTAAGGTAGTTTTATTTTTAAATAGGATTGCAAAGATTACCGTTCATTTAAAACCAAGCTTTTAGTCCTCACTTTAGATTAGCTCACAAAACTGCATGAAGTTGAGTTAATAAAGCATTTGTTTACATAGATAGAAACTATTAATATATGCCTGAATAATAAGATATATACACATTGATTTCAAAAGTTTATTAATCATTTACTAACTCATTCTGAATGATCTTAAAAACCTCCAACTACTCTTAAATACAAATGCCTTGTAAATAATATAATACTTAATTTAGTATTGAAAAATAAATCACTCACAAATTATGAAAATCCAATTATTAGGCACATTATAAATGTGTTTTTATGTCAAGAATACAGCATTTGTATCTGCATTTATAAACTGTAATGTAGAGTTAATGCTTAATAAAATAATGAATTCACTAGATGCCAATGCCTAAAAAATTATTCATAGTGTGTAGTTATTAGGGGTGTCACGATTTCGAAATTTATGCTCAACGTCGATTATCAAATCAAAAAATAGAATCGTCGATGCTGCCACGCCCCCATGTCACGTTAGCTTGGCTTGCCAAGCGGGAAAAAACATGCTTGTTTAAGTGCTTGTTGAACTGCAGACGCAGGAGACCCGTCGACAGAGCTTAAACCCTCTCCTCTTTTAATGAAGTCGCCGGTGTGGAAGTATTTTGGATTTCCAGTTAGTTATGTTGACAACGTTCGTGTGGTCGACAAAAAAAAAAAAAAAACACAGTTTGCAAGCTCTGCTATGTACGTATTACGGTCGGGATGATAGACGATGGGCGCATCGCGATCCTCCGCCCCGCACCCATTGCAAATCTGCTCGCGAAAAATACACACTCAGGCCCTGTTTGCACTAATATGTCTGTGTTTTTAATTGACATTTTAGAACAACAACAATCCACATCCACACTGGCGTGTAGCATTTCTAAACAGCCCTACTTCCTCACTACCGCTGAAAACGCACATCACGTGACCAAACACACTCATTCACACACAGAAACAGATGCACACACATTGTCATGCGCTCGAGACAGCGGGTCAAGGCAGTCAGCGAGTCAGTAGACTGCTTTAATCTTTTACTTTTACACAAGTACTTAGTCATTTTAGCGAACACCTCAGATACTGTTGGCTGGTTTCTGTTGGTTGTGCACCGTTTTTACCGATGCCATTATAACGACACAGATCACTTCCTATTCACGAGTCCCGCATAAAAAAGTGATTGACAGGTGGTAATTATGTGTGTATCTTGCCTTTATTCATTTACTGTATGATTTGTTTATGGGTAAAACAAAGACCATGCAAGTCAGGCAGTTTAAACTATAGGCTACTAATCATTAATTCGTCATTAATTAATTAATTATTTATAATCGAAAATCGAATCGTGACTTTAGAATCGAAAATGTAATCGAATCGAGGATTTGGAGGATCGTGACACCCTTAGTAGTTATTATAAAGTGTTACCAAAAATAAACATACAAACACAAAGAAGGAAATTATTTTTTCATTCGTTTAACACATTAACACCTGTATAAGTGTCTAAAAATGTAATTGTAAAATAAAATGATTCTTAAACAGCAACATTGATTGCAATTAGAATTATTTCTGAAGGAGTAATAATGGTAAAGATTCTGCTTTGAAATCACAGGTATAAATGACATATTACAATACATTCAAACACAAAAAACCAGCACAAATTTGCCAGTTTTAACTGAACTTTGGATCAAATAAAGGGAGGTTTGGTCAACAGGCTTCTTTTTTTAATGCTCTTAAACTTTCAAACCAGTAGTGTGGAGCCATTAAATTAAGGTGCACCAATATGATATAATCTAGAAACACTTGATCTGCTACCACTGACAGCTATTAGCAACAGCGTTAAACCTGTTGGCTTCCCAGTGCCAGCCATCTCTTCTCTGCCTAAAGGAAACCGTTCACTGAGATTTCTGAGCAAACAAATGTATCCGGCTCTGTTTGACTTCCTCAAAGTTGTTGAGATTTGTTTGAAGCTTTCGGATTGGCAGTTGGGAGTGTAAATACACTGATTATTAGCCATTGAGCATTTCCATGAGCTGCAGTATTGATCTGATCAAAAT